TGCTTTAACTCACAAAATTGACATTCAGGAGTGAAGATGAAATAATGGATATATAGAATTTTGATAGACATGAAGAAAAAAACCACTGGTAGGGAACATGAATCAAGCCTGTAAGCCTGAGCAGGCAGAGTGTGTTCACTGTTTTGCAAGTAATCAAATTTAACTATCATGTGTATGCTGTGGTCACCGCAGGGTAGATAAATAGTAAATAAGCATTTAGACTGAAAAGATGGAATGAAGCCATACCCTAGGAGACTTTGAATGTTAAATTGAGAAGTTTATATTTAGTTTTATAAGATATGGGGGCCGTTTAAAATTTTACACAAGATACAAGTATTGTTGAAATCAAAATTTTTAGAAGCTTAATATATTAATCTTTTAGAAAATTATTTTTTTAGACAATTAAAATGACAGTGTAGGAGATTAAGAGAGAATGAAAACTTTTTTCAATCATCCCTCTACCTGTAGTTCTAATTTCTTGTCTTTGATAAAGACTTTTTTCCTTTCTTTTTTATTAAAAAAAAAAAAATCAAAGACTCACTTCTTGTCTACATAAAGACCAGCCTATTTTCTTAAGCCTTCTCATTCTAAGTCTATTTGAAGGATCATATAAATTTAATTTGTTTATAATAATAGAAACATTATAGTCAACATTTATGAAGCACTTTCTTTGTGCAAAACAATGCAAAGCATTTTTGTATACATTAAATAACCCTTACTGCAACTTGGGTGGCAAGAACAGTTAATATTCCACATTTATACATGAGAAAAGTGAGGCTTAAGTTGGTTAAGTAATTTGCCCAAATTAACTAGTGGTAGAAAATGCAATTTGGCATACAATAGTTGCTCCACACATAATCATTGAAGTTACAAGTTTGATTCCAGACTTCATTCCGAGGAGCTCCCTGAAGCTCACTAATAAGGAAACAATTAAAATATAATGTACGTGTCTTAAAATAAATATGCCAGGTGTTATGGGAGCACAAAGTATGGCTATCTAAGACATTGTAAGAGGGGGAAGGAGTTCATGGAATGTTTCTCAGTAGAGACAAAAGACAACCTGGATCGTAAATCGTAATATATATATATATATATATATATATATATATATATATATATATATATATATATGAATTAGTTGGGTAAATGAAAGGGTAATATGAATCTTTCCTAGGAGGGATCTTAGACTGCTAATCAAATAAGACTCCTGTTAGCCTGGAAACCCTCTAGACATCCAGGGATGTGTGGGTCTAAAAAATAACAATGCTTACAAAATAGTCACGGGGATGTAAAGTATAGCAGAGGGAATACAGTCAATAATATTGTAATAACTATGTGTGATGCCAGGTGGGTACTAGACTTATCAGGGGATCACTTGGGAAGTAATTTAAATGTCTAACTACTATGCTATACTCTTGAAACTAATATAATATTGAATGTCAACTGTAATTTAAATAAAATACACACATTTTTAAAAAGTAACAATGATTGATGTCAAACTAAAATGTAACAATCACAGATATATGAAATGTTTAAATTTAAATATTATGCAACATTTTAAAAGACATGTCACCAATAATTTTTCNTAAATAGATAACTACAATATTGCCTCAAGGATATGAAAGACAGTTTGGGGAATATAATTAATAATGTAAATATTTTGTAGGGTGTCAAATGGTCACATGTCTTGTTAGGGATACCACTTCATGTATGGGGAAGAGGCTTGATCACTGTACTGTACACCTGAAGCTGATGTTGTATAATATTGTATGTCGACTATAATTGAATATATATATATATAGTCACGGGACATGGAGTATAGTGTGGGAGTCCAGTCAATGGAATTGTAATAGATGTGTATGATATGGGGGAGGAGTGGGGTGGCGGATTGGGGGAGGGGGGTGTCACTTTGAGGGGTACTGTGTTGTACAGCTGAAACTAATTAAAATGTTTATTTTACAATAAAAAAATAAAATAAAAACAAACAAAAAGCAAAGGAATTAAAAATGTAATAGCTTAAAGAACATAGATATTTTTCTCCCTCAAGTAACTGTCCAGCAAGGGGAGGGTGGGCTTTATTCCACAATGTCATGCAGGGACCTAGGCTATCAGGGATGGCTCCACAGTTCTGAACATATAGTATCCAAAGTTTTCTCTCTCACCTTTTTTTAGCCATAAGGAAAGGAGTGAGTTCATGGTAACTGTCTTTAAGATTATGACCTAAAACTTGCAATTATCAGCTCTACTTTCACTGGTGACAATTTACTCATGTGGCCACATAGAGGTACAAGAGAAATTATGAAGTGTAGCCTTTAGCAGGACACCTAAATATTGAGAAAAAGTTGAGAGTGGAATTGGAGGGACAACTAACCATTTGTCATGTCCAAGATGACAGTAATTTTGGAAGGACAGCTAACGGCCTGTTGAGCCTACCTCCAAATACCTGCCAGCCTTAGGTCCCAGTCTTCTATGCTCTCCTCTCCTCTTCTAACATTTGTCAAATTTGTCTACTTTACTTGGACTGGGAGGTCTTTTGAGGCAGAAATTTTTATTATTTATCAATTGTTTCTGTCTTCCAATGGATTTTCAAAATATTTTGAAAAAAATCATTAATTTTTACTATAGCTAAGAATTAGGTTGANATATCTCCCTAGAAAAAAGATGCAGTGTTAACTTGAATTCTTTTCCCATTTTATTTAGGGAAGAAAATTATTTCAGAGCTTGGATATTTCTGAAAGACTAAAATTGTTGCTTACCTTGGGTAAGTGTCACACAATTTATCTTTCAACTACAAATATAATCCCCTGTGATAGTTAGTATTCATACACAGTAAGGATGTGTTTGTCTAAAATAGTGAATACACTAAAATATCCTCTTCAATTTTCTCATGATCAGCGGTAAGCATTATAATAGGACAACTTAAGTGCCTTCTGAAGTATTATAGTGGAGCTTTTCTTATTTACCAAGGAATAATAACATGGATGGATATAAAATTAGCTTCATGATCTAGCCAAGTAAACTAACTTGTGAAATCAAAATGTGAGAATATGAAATTATACTTCTCTTTGCAAGTTTACCTTCAGACAATATATATTAACTTTTGAGCTTTCTGTTTAATAACTCATGTGTGGTGAATATGACTGAGAAAGAATGTTTATCTTTTCCTTATAAAAAGCTCATATATTTTACATATATATATTAGATCCAAATATGTATGATTCTAATTTATAAAAATTTGTGTAATCTACTTGAGAGTGGAATAAATTAAGCATGTGTGGTAAAAAAGGACAGAAAAACAGTGACAGAGCACTTCATGTAAAAGAATGACACATTGGTGTACAGATAAATAGGGTTTACAGGTAAGAATATGTAAAGAATAGTATTAATAAGTATTAACTAATAATGAATTGTAAATAAAATTGCATAAAATTTTCTCATATTTACCATATTTAATTTTAAAGATTGATAATAGCTCTGTTAAGGAGTCTCAGGGATTTCTAAATGTGGTCTACAAACTATTTGTATTTTAAATCCTCAGAGAAATATGTGTACATTCTCCAAATTGTATATAATAAAAGTAAATTAATAATTATGAAAAAGTAAGTCTTTTTAAAGAGTAATATGTGTATGTAGAGAGCATGCAAAAGAGCAAGAGTCTTTACCTCCTTGAATTGCTGCTTTATCTCACTTAAATTTAAGCTATCTTTCAATATCTTTGATTCAATTAATATTTAATATGTGAAGTCTTTATTTTTGGCAAATATGTAAGGAAAGTTTAAACAGTCACAAGCTTTTTAATATTAGAAGTTCCCAAACTCATTACACAATTAAAAAAAATTATATATATATATATTGGAGTTCAGTACCCGGTTAGTCTGATAAATTAGAAACGCAGCATTAATTCACATAATTTTTCTGTTTTATAGACTGTATAGATGACACTGTAATAGTTCTGGCTGAAGAGCATGGTTGTCTGGACATTATAAAGGTTTGTCATTAATCTGTTATTGAAAATTTGTTTATTTTGCATTTTGGGAACCCAATAGACAGTTATTTTAAAGCTGAGTTTATTTCTGTATCGATATTAGTTTTTTTCACAAAGTGAAAAACTAATATAAATTTGGATAAAGTTCAAATAAAGACTTTTTAAAAAATCAAAACACCGTAGATTAGCAATCAGTTGAGTAAAATATATTTTTTAAATGGATCACATTAGTTTTTTTTCTCTCTTTATTTACCAGGAGCTTCCTGAAAATGTGATAGATCTTTTGAAGAAGTGCCTTACCTTCCACCCTTCCAAGAGGTCAGTATTATTAAGAGTTTAGGATTACACTGAGATCTTTAACNAAATGCAACAAGGGATAAACTGGGATTAAGACACACTGTGAGAGTTTATAATTTAACTTAGATCCATAAACTTTGAAGACAAACACACAGAGCTGTGTGAATGCCAAGAAAGGAGATACTAATTCCGTCGTATGGCTTCATGACATTTTAAGTGGTACTCAACGTTTAGACAGTCTTGTTTAAGGATGGTAAATTGAACATAAGCCTAAATTTTCCTCTGCCTCATCAAACCCTTAGATTTGTATAAAATACTAACACAGTGAACTTTGGGCACACTAGAAATTTTAAGGAACTAGATGAGAAGCTATACCAAGACCATTTTGCTAGGAAGCTCTTGCCATAGGTACAGAAAGTCAGTACATCACTCTACCACCCAGAAGTTTCCATAGTCCAAAAGATGTATAGAATTCTGACCAGTTAACTAAGTTGGTTAGAACATGGTGCTGATAACACCAAGGTTGCCAGTTCGATCCCCGCATGGGCCACTGTGAGCTGTGCCCTCCTTAAAAGAGTCAACTATGCCATTCTAGCATGAAAGCAGTATGTAACCAATGAGTATGGCTGTTCCCCAATAAAATAAAATAAAAAACATTCTGAATTTAAAACATGAGTACATTCCTAAAAACACCAACCATCTAAAGATAAACTGTACAATAAAAAAGAAACAATAGAAGAATTTATACTATAGAAAAGACTTTAAAATAAATATACATGTTCTTTAAAGATAAAAAAAACATTTTCATTCATGAAACAATTATAGAAACGATGACTCAGTAATATTTGCTGAAAAGAACAAGAACCAGCTAAGAGTTTTAAGAGAAAAATTATTATTGAAATAAAGAACTAAATAGATAGATCATAGTAAACTGAACAGACTGAATGTAGAGATGAAATTGAGTAATTCTCCTAAAATGTGACACAAAGAGATAAAGAATTTCAAAATATAAAATAAATTTTAAAAGACAGGGACGATAGATTCAGATGTTCTAATATCCATCTTATAGTAATGTCTGAAGCAGAGCGTAAAGTCCGAGGTTTGAAAGAACCTACTAATTACCTTACAAAGGGAATGAAAACCAAAACAAAACATGCAAACAACAACAACAAATACCTAGAAGTCCTATTTTAAACTTTTAGGTGGTAACTGTTAATAAAATAATAGGTGACATTTCATGAGCACTTATCAAGAGGCAGGTAGTTTTCTAATATTTTTTCACCTATTGCCTCAATCAATTATCACACCAGTCTTATGAAGTTTATCTAATTATTTATGTTTTACTTTACAGATTAGGAAATTGAGGTACAGAGAGGTTAAGCAACCTGTCTGTTACATAATAGTAAGTAGTTGAGCAGATTTGTACCCATCAACCTGCATCCAAAGCTGTACTCGTAACCAAAACACTAAATTGCCTTTACTGAGCACTGATGTTAATGAGAAAATCTGAAACAGAGTGAAAAGACATACTGCCTACAAAAATGAAAATTAGATTGGCACTTAACTTCTTTGCAGAGTGGAAGCAAGAAAACAATGGGACAATGCCAATAAAGTGCTGGGAGAAAGTAAGTTTGAATTTTGACTGCTTTAACTCACAAAATTGACATTCAGGAGTGAAGATGAAATAATGGATATATAGAATTTTGATAGACATGAAGAAAAAAACCACTGGTAGGGAACATGAATCAAGCCTGTAAGCCTGAGCAGGCAGAGTGTGTTCACTGTTTTGCAAGTAATCAAATTTAACTATCATGTGTATGCTGTGGTCACCGCAGGGTAGATAAATAGTAAATAAGCATTTAGACTGAAAAGATGGAATGAAGCCATACCCTAGGAGACTTTGAATGTTAAATTGAGAAGTTTATATTTAGTTTTATAAGATATGGGGGCCGTTTAAAATTTTACACAAGATACAAGTATTGTTGAAATCAAAATTTTTAGAAGCTTAATATATTAATCTTTTAGAAAATTATTTTTTTAGACAATTAAAATGACAGTGTAGGAGATTAAGAGAGAATGAAAACTTTTTTNATTAAGAGGATAGAAAGAAAACCAAGAGCTATCATTAGTTTTCAGTTTTATTATTTAAGATATTTAGTAAAGCAGGTACGTGGTTGTCAAGCTAAAAGTAAAAAATTGAGATGCTCATATGTAATAATGTTGATAGATCATAAGGTGCAAAAAAGGAAAACAAAGGGAGAAAATTCAGCATTTCCTGCTCACGTGGTTATAGAAAGGTGAACATCTAGACTCTGCCAAGGAGAGCTTGACTATGTTCTGTGCTAAGGAGACACTTAATATTTTTAACTGTCCCCTTGAAAGTGTGTTATTATTCTAGGAAATTTTTAATGACTTTCATTCATGCTCTGTATTTCAAATGTGTTTCTCAAGGCCAACCCCAGATGAATTGATGCAGGACAGTGTGTTCAGTGAAGTGTCACTGTTATACACTCCCTTTATCAAACCTGCCAGTCTGTTTTCTTCATCCCTGAGATGTGCTGATTTAACTCTGCCTGAGGATATCAGTCAGCTGTGTAAAGGTAATGATACGTGAGACACAGGCAATAATGTAAGCCTGGTGTTTAAAGGAAGCACCCTTCTCCTGGCTTCAGTTTTAAATTTATCAACAATATACTCATATATAATACATTAGTGAGACTTTATGGACACTTATCTTGGAATGAAAAGATAATTCTGGATGTGTTTAAAATAAAACTAACCTAACATTTCAATCCTTTAAATTTAAATTACTTCAGAGCAAGAATTTTAAGGAAGTAGCACCACAAAAAAAATGTATCATGTAAAGCAAAGTCCTGTTTTCATCTCAAATCTTAATGCATAAACCAGGTCCTCATTACATCAACATTTTTATATTACATTATATATAATTTATTATAAATGATCTCTAAAAATCATACTATTGATAGGAAGTCAATACTATTACATTCTACATTATAAAAGAATATCAACTTTTCTCTTTATTTCTCCATGAAAATTACAACTCTCAGAATGTGTGTTTTAGTGACACCAATATGTTACTCTTATACTAAAAAGTTATGAGATAAGTTATAGCAGGAAGTAGTGACTTTAAACAGTCATTCAGACAAATATTTATTGAGATCCTACTATGTTCCACACACTATCTTCAAGTAGTATTCATGCCAATGCAATTAACTCCAGACATGAAGGATGAGACAGTTTGTGTTGGTTGCCCTCCCATGTGCTCGTTTCTGCCCTTATTCCTTTCCCGCAGAGCCTGATGTGCGTGCGCGCGCGCGCGTGTGTGTATAAAATCTCTTAAAATGCGTATACACTTTTTTGGCACCCTCCATGTATTTGTATGTCATATATATATCTTCATTTCAACCTCTGTGCATTTTGTAATATGAATATTTTAAAGGATATTTTACTATGTTTTGCAGCTTTTACTTTTTTAGAATATTAGCTGTTACAGTCTGCTGCCTTTTAAAAAAACAGAAAGTGAGATCGCTATGATTCTCTTTAATTTGCCATTAATAGATATAAACAGCGATTACCTGGCCGAAAGATCTATTGAAGAAGTGTATTACCTTTGGTGTTTAGCTGGAGGTGACTTGGAGAAAGAGCTTGTCAACAAGGAAATCATTCGATCCAAACCACCTATCTGCACACTTCCCAAGTAAGCAAAGAAAAATTTTGGACATGAAAAATATCTAGTAATAATTAAGAAAAATGTTTGGGAGACATTTCAACTAAATGATTATGAAAGCAATTGGAAGTCAATACCTTATTCTTTTGGCTTAAATATCAAATTGCAGAATTCCCATCAATATTTTTATTAAACATTTTTTATAATTTGTTTTATCCTCTATTTGAAGTAAAATTTTTATTATGGAATATCTTGTAATAATTGATGTGCAATAAATGAAAAATGTACAAGTCAGAAACATTAATATTCAAGAGAATTAATCAACTAGTGTGCCTATTAATAAAAACCATATTCTATTTCCAATTATATTTGTAAATGTAAATGTACGCCATGACCTCACTGCTTGTCCTAGAGATCATTATGGAGCTAAGTAACTGTTGAGAAAAATCTACAGAACTGTGTAGGATCCTGGACATCATCCTATTAATTAGATTGAAAGTTAAATAACAATACAGCCTAAGGGACAAAGTTTTTCCTGTTCCATTGCTGTTGATATTTATTCATAAAGAAGTAAACCTGAATCTCTAGTTTCCACCAATACTTTATAATTTTAATTTTAGGTTTTTGCACTAGATTTGTTCATTGTAGTTAACTTAGAAATCATCTGCTGATCATATGTTATATTTTGGGGTTAATGATTTGAATAGACCATTGGTTATCTACTTTTTTTCCCTCTTAAACTAATTTTTAAACATTAACTTCAGCTAGACTGCTCACATATTTAATTAAGTAGAAAATCAGGAAATAAAATGATAGAAATTCCAAGAATAAATGGTTTGAAGGATATATAAATTCTCAAAAGTAATTTTCTGAAATTCTAAATAAATTTCTTGCATTTATGATTCAATGTTCTTTTTCCTGAGAAGTTACCATCATTATAATTTTTCTT